GGGAGCCTCGCCCGCCTCCTCAGCAGCGCTGAGGATGTCTGACTACAGCTTAGGCCTGCTCCCCGCTGGCAAATGGACATCCCTTGAAGGCTCCCCGGCTGCCAGAGGGATGTCTCACTGCCATCTTAGGCCCAATTCCCCGGGAAGCAGGCCTAAGCCAGCAAGTGGTCACCCCTGAGGGGTCCCAGACTGCCAGAGGGCATAGGCCGGGCTGAGGGACCCGCCTCCCCCACCCCCCCGAGTGCACAAATTTTTGTGCACCAGGCCTGTAGTATCTGATAAATTACCTCCATTTTATTTACCTTTTTTGTAGAATTCTCTTGTTCCTTCATTTGGAGACTGTTTTTTTTGTTTTCCCATTTTGGCTGCCTGTTTATGTTTGTTTCTGTGTTTTAAGTAGATCTGTCGTGTCTCCCAGTCTTGGTAGGGCAGCCTTATGTAGTAGGTGTCCTGGGGGACCCAATGGCACAGTCTCCCTGATCACCCTAGCTCAGTGCTCTAAGAATGTCCTTTGTGCATGTTATGTGAGCCCCCTCTTGATTGCTCTTGGTCTGATCGGGTGTGGGATCAATCCTCAGGCCTGGTAACAATGAGACTCAACTCTAAACACAGTGTGCAGGTTGCTGTACAGGTGCTGATCACATGAAGCCAAATTCAACTCAGCAGGGTCTGGTGCCTGCTGAGATCTCCCTGTGTTGTGCTAGTTGTGAAGCTTATTGGAACCTGCTCTGTTGTTGTCTGGAACTAGCCACTGGGTGTATTGGTTCTGGGTCTCTTTGGAGGGACTCTGGTACCGGCCAATGTCACAGGCTGTCTGTGTCTGGCCCTGGGCAATCTCTTGGGAATTATCTGCATTACACAGCTTGTGACTCACTCTGCTAGTGGCTCCCTCTGCGCTGAACCTGTGCATGTAGAAAGGACCAAGCTGCACACCAAGGTCTGCTTTTACTAGCCCTGGCCCCCGGAGCATCTCAGGCAAAGACTCAAAACACCCAGAGATCTGCCTCTGCCTACAGGTTGGCATTTGGGCTCAGCCCTCATCCAGACTGGCCAGGCACCCCACTGGGGACCCCCACCCTGAAGGGTGTGTGACCAGCTGCAAACAGCCAACATCCCCTCACCCAGGCTGGCCAGGCACCCTAGTGGGGACCCCGACCCTGATCCAGGATCACCCTTCCGGGCCA